TTTTTTACAACAACAAGCTGCAATGAAAACAAGCAGAAATGAAATAAAACTAATGACTTTATACTTTTTGTCTGTTTTAAAATGTAAGGAGTAAAAAGAAGGCTGAAAAATATTTACTGAAGTAAAGTACAGATACCCAAAAATTCAATTTAAGTACAGTAAAGAAGTATTTGTACTTAGTTACTTTACAACTCTGATAAATACTGGTAAAATGAACGACTGCGACTAAATCTAAAAKTTAGACAATCTTTGTTAGGAAAATGAGGCAAAAATCTTCATCTGTGAGTTTAAAACAACTCAAGCAACAACAACGTTTCAAACGTATTTAAAAAATGTTTAAACTGTGAGTCAGTGGATGGGTCTTGGTAAGATTTTCACAATAAAAGTATGACAGAGAACATTCTGGGTGTTGATTCTGAGAGTTTTCATCTGCTTGGTTTTGTTTTTAATTGCGGCTCTACCTGCAGATTTAATTTGTGGTTTTAAATATTCATGTGCTTTGTTTTTTTTATTTTTTTATTTCATGCAGAAYATGACGTGAAACCTCCAGACGTAACTGTTTTTCCACCTTCGGATAAGGAGTGCAGACGAAACAAGAGGAACCCAAGGAAGAAGACCCTGGTTTGCGTGGCCTCTAATTTCTACCCGGATCATGTGGGTGTGTCCTGGTCCATCAATGGGCAGAAAGTCACTGATGGTGTGCAGACGGACAGTGCTGCCCACTTCAGTGAAACTTCTTACACAATCACCAGCAGACTCAGAGTTCGGGCAGAAGAGTGGTTTAATCCCAGTCTGAAGTTCACGTGCACCGTTTCCTTCTATGATGGAGAAAAGACCATCTTTGTTCCTGCCTCAGTCTCATGTATGTTCCATTAGAGCACACACTGAACACTCCTGTCACAAGTTCACATCTTTAACTGTCCAATCTGTTGTTATCCTTACAGCAAACATAGCAGACACAGGATTGGGTCGAGGTAAATACAGCATTTTAATCTTCATCAATTAGAACGTTTCTATGTGGTGCTGTTTGTAAAGTTACACAGTCAAAAATTACCACCAATATTTTTGTTTTATTTAGTCTTTTATAAGACAAAAAGAACAGATTTATTTTTCAAAGTCAGTTTTTCACAACACAAGTCATACATTTATAAATGTCATAGTTTATAAACTAAATATTTAACTTACAAATTAAACATTTAGTTAACAAGCTAAATATTTATTTTGTGACTTAAATATTTAGTTTTGAGCTAAACATTTAGCTTGCAACGGAAATATTTAGCTAGCTACCTAAATATTTAAGTTGCAACTTAAATATTTAACTTGCTAGCTAAATATTCAAGTTGCAACTTAAATATTTAACTTGCTAGCTAAATATTCAAGTTGCAACCTAAATATTTAGCCAGCTAGCTAAATATTTAAGTTGCAAGCTAAACATTTAGCTCAAAACTAAATATTTAAGTTGCAAGCTAAACATTTAGCTCAAAACTAAATATTTAAGTCACAAGTTAAATATCCATCCATTTTCT